ATTCGCGCTACATTGAGGGCACTTCCGAAATAAGAACTTATATCACTGAGCATGCGCAATCCTACACGGGTATTTACAGTGACTGTTGATATGAAGATCAATAATACAGTAAATAATTATCAGGCAACAGGTAAAATAAGCGTTTGATTTGCTGCTGAGTGAGAGTAACTTCTAAAAAATGAATTTATTTTTAGCAAGCAGAACAAAATGCAACAAAACACACGAGAAAGTATGAGCCATACAACATATCTTCATCTGAAACAAAGATTATTTAATGTATTGGCCCCGTTACTGTTTTTAGTTTGAAATGTTTATATGATTTCACTTCAGCTTTACGTCCACACGTACCTGGGTATTTTTGAAAACGCAGATTTTTCTATGCGTTTGCGCCTTTCGTCCACACGTAAACGGCGTTTTTGGTCACTGAAAACAGAGAATTTTAAAAAACTCCGGCCAGGGTGGATATTTTTGAAAACTCCGTTTTTGCTTTTATATGTGGACACAAAACTTAGCGTCAAAGGTGTGCGCCTTTTTTGACGTCACAGTGTGCGCCACGTTATTGTTTCGGTGAAATGAATTTCTACAATACTGTTACTGTTACTTGTACTCTCTGCATTGTTTAAATGCTTACATATACACACACAGTTACTGTCCCTCCACATGTACAACTCGGTTCTGCTTCTATGCCCCATCTTTGTTTACTATTTCCCGCCGATGTTTCTAGACTTCTGATTGGCCAACATTTCTACACGGTTAGGAATATAGCGCCACCTGCTGCTTCGGCATGTTCCTAGCAGCGTTTTCTTTCATTTCTGCTTTTACGTGTGGACGGGATTATTTTTTAAAACGAAAACGGAAAATCTCCGTTTTCAAAAATACCCGTGTACGTGTGGACTTAGTGTTTTTCACATGAGTGTTGATATGCAGTTAAGCCTGCAGTTATCACAATAAGCTCCAAATAGTGCTCTGTGAAACAGCATCTCCGATGCTTAAATTATGATATTTTTCTTTCTTCTTCTTTTACTGCTCCCTTTAGAGGTCGCCACAGGGGGTCATCTGCTCCCATCACCTTGTGCCTAGCTTCTTTCTTTGTCTCACCAACCTCCTGTATGTCCTTGCTCACAAGAATCCTCTCTGAGCTGTTCCTCTGGTGTATTAAGTGTAAATCTTAGCATCTTATTAAACCATTTGTTTCCACATAAAGGGGAAAAATGTTTTAGTTGAACATTTTGCATTCTACCTATCAATATTCTACAAGCTCTAAAGTTCATAGGAGTTGAAACCGGTCACTTAGCTGCCTTTTTCAGTCCCTGTGACTTCATAAGTACAGGGAAATGCACATATCAAGCCCT